ATTGACAAAAATTTATAAGTCATTTCTTGATTTGAGCATTTGCTCAAGCATTTTGCGCAATCTTTATTGACCCAAATGGAGATGCCACACGCAGCGTGTGGCTTTACTTTCAGCATCGACTTAAGCCTCTGCTGACTCTGCTGCATCGCCTCTGCACTTGCATCAGCTTCAGCTTCAGCTTCGATTTCAACTGTAGCATCAATAAATATTGACATTAGCCACGGCTTTAGTTTCTGTTTCGACTTTTCAGTTTGGCTTTAGCTTTTGCTTAAGCATCTGTATCATTTAGGTTTATTTAGAGTTTATGCATTGACAACAGTTTCTGGATTTAGCTTTGGCTTGTCATCACTTTACGTTTTTAATACAGCATCGATTTTAGCTATAGCTAAACTTCAGCTTAGACATCAGTTTCTGTTGGTTTTAGCTTTATACTCAGTATTGAGATCAGCTTTAGCTTTAGCTTCTTCAGCTGCTGAAGCTTAACTTCAGCTTTGATTCAGTTGAATTTGGTTTTACTTGAAATTCAATATTGATATCAGCTTTAGCTTTAGATTCAGTATTGAGATCAGCTTTAGTTTTAGCTTCCTCAGCTGCTTCTTTGATTCAGTTTCTGTTGGCTTTAGATTCAGTATTCCTCAAGTGCTGCAGCTGTAGCTCTAACTCTAGCATCGTCTTTAATTTCAGACTCAGCTTCGCTCTAAGTTTCAGTTTCTCTGTTGGCATTCGCTTCAGCTTCACCTTTAACATCGCCTTCGGCTTTAGCTTTAGCATTCACATTAGCTTCGATTTCAGTTGAAGCAGCTCTGCATTAGCTTTGGTATTGGCATTAGTTTCAGCTTCTGCTGTGTCATCAGCCTTAGCTAAAACTAAGGCTAAAGCCTCAGTACTGACATTAGCTGCTGCYTCAGTTTCCGCTCCAATTGCTGCCACAACTTTAACTTCAGTTTCAGCGTAGACATCAGGGTTCAGTTTTAGCCTTGACATTAGTTTAGTTTGCCAAATTCTAGACATTTTCAGTAACTTGCACTTGTAGCTTTAACTATAATATAGATATCATTCATACCATAGATTCATCTTTTACTTCAGCATTTATTCAGTTTCCAATTCAACCTCAGTTCAACTTCGACTTCAACTTTTGTTTTTAGATTTATATCAGCTTCTATTCTTGCAACTGCTTAATCTTAAGCTTTAGTTTTGCTATCAACTTCATT